GGGGCCAGAGGAGTAGGAGTGCAGGTCTCCAGAAGGAGCCAGCTCAAAGGTTTCTGTGGAGCTGCACTCCGACTGACAAGAGTCTACGGAGGAAAAAGAAGAAGGTGGAGGAGGCTCCACCTCCTGCCAATCATTCCCCTGCCCCGCCCCTTCATCCTGCTCTGTCTCTATGGCAACAGTGACTGTAGAGGAGGGGGGAGGAGCTGTATCTGAGGGTGGGGCAGGTTTGGGGGGTGACTGAGAAACGGGCTCATCAGTACGGTACCTTTGGGGTTTGAGACGCATTCTGGGCGGCAGCGGCGTGTGTGCGCTGCCGGCGGCGCTGCTCAGGTGCTGCAGGCGGCGAGTGAAGTGCACCTTCTGGTTCTGCAGAGACACAGCCCGGGTCACAGCCTTACTGCGGTTCTGGTTCTTGTCTTGGTGTGCTGGGAGGTGGTGTGGTACCAGTTTCTGTAAGACCTGCTGGGACTTGGAGCGGTCAGCAGCAGAACTCTTGGCCAAAACTTTCTTGGAGTTTAGTTTGGAGTGCTCCTGGCTGGACGAGGCCGTTGATGAGGCCACGCCCCTCAGGATGCGGCGGGACGATGATGATGATGATGATGATGAAGACACAGGCATTCCTGACGATGAGCGTCTGTCGGGGGCGGAGCGTCCTCCTCTGTCGTCTCCTCTCAGACGTTTCAACTCGGTGGAAATGGGCAGGTCTGCAGCTCGCCGCCTGCCTAAAACCTCATGGCTCCTGAGCTGGACTGGACCTCGGCGGGCCTCCCTGTACCCACCTGACACCACACCTTTGCACTTGTCACAGAGGACCTGGCGTGGGCGGAGCTTGATGGCATTCATTATGGAAGTGGGCTCCTCGCAGCGGTAGCGCCTCTTSGGTCGTTTGATCTTGCGTGGAGGCGGCTGAGGTAAGGCCTGGTTGTAAGTGTCCCTGATAAACAAAGGAGGAGGGTACGGCGCCCCCTCCTGGAACAGCGGTGGTGGTCTCGAGCTCCAGGGTTGGGATGGGGTCAGGGAGCGAGGAGCTGAGGAGACGTCTTCCTGTTTGGTGGAAGTCTCAGTGTCAACAGAGACAGGCAGCAGAGACGCTGGAGGCTGGCTGCGTTCATCACGGTGTGGGACCGTGGTGATGGGGATCCCATAGGGTCCAAACCTGAGGACACAAAGACAAGGTTTGACTGAACCGGTGTACCAACACTGATTAACATTGTACCAACACTGATTAACACTGTACCAACACTGATTGTTAACACTTTGTACCAACACTGATTGTTTACACTTTGTACCAACACTGATTCTTAACACTTTGTACCAACACTGATTGTTAACACTTTGTACCAACACTGATTAACACTGTACCAACACTGATTGTTAACACTTTGTACCAACACTGATTGTT